TTTTCTAGACATTTACTTTCCATTGAGCCCTTGGGATCAGCTCCTCTTCCCCCCACCCCCAACCATCATGACCCCTTGATAGATTATAGATTGTTAGTCATTTTCAAATCTCATACTGACCGCTGTCTCCCTTCCCCTCTGGTTTCCGTTGTTCTTCCCCCTGGACGGGGGTGTGTGTGGTTCTGTGCTATTCATTGCGATCGGTGCCCCCTCCCTCCCTCCCTCCCCACCTCTCCCCCCTTCCCCTACCCTTCTGGTATCACTGTTCCCATTCCTGTTCCTGGGTCCATGTGTCGTGAGTTTTATCTCTTGTCTACACCTATGTACATGCTCCCGTCTAGTCCAGAGTGGGAAGCAGCTCTGGGTCATCATAGTGGAGGGTGAGGAGGCTTCAAGGGATCAGAGGTACCATATATACTCTAATATAAGCCAACCCGAATATCAGCCGAGGCACCTAATTTTACCACAAAAACTGCATTAAAAATGTGCTAAAAAAACTCACCTTATACACGAGTTTATACTGTATATTGCATAATCCATTGCTGCTCTACTGCACCCTGGTTTGGCCCCCAAAGGTGTTATGACCCACAGGTTGAGAACCACTGCCCTAGACCTTCTGGGGTCATTGGCCCCATTTCCTTCTCCCCGAGCTTCCCTCCCATGTCTGTCCCATATAAGTAGGCAAACCAGCAATGTTCTATTCGGAACAATAAGAAAATAAACATTGTGTCAAGCACATTTGTACATGTGTGGCCATCATCATTTTCTAAATATTTTCTTTCTACTTGAGCCATTGGTATCAGCTTCTCATTTTTCCCCTCCCTCCCCAATCCTGCTTAGCACCTTTTATTTTATTTTTAACAACCAGACCATATCAATTTAAGGAAAGTAGGATTCATCAGAAATTAAATGGAATGCATAAATATTGATATCCTGGAAATCGTGAGCTGAAATGGACTGGTATTGGCTGTTTTGAATTGAACAACCATGTGCTTTCCTCCGCCAGGAATGCATCAGTACCCCTCATCAGAAAGAGCGTCTTGAAGTGCAGTGCTCCTTGTGATAGGGTAATCTAGATGCCTACAAGGAGGACCAGTTAGCACGGCTTTTATTCAGATTTACACACCACCCACTAAAGCCAGCGAGGAAGAAATTCTTCAGCCTGAATTAATAAATCTGCAATCAAGATGGATTGGCAGTTGGAGTGTGAAAGTTGGAAGCAAGGAGGGAAGGGACATAGTTGGAAAACATGGCCTTGGTAATAGAAACAAAGTTGGAGATTGCATCTTCATTGCAAATACTTTTACTTTCACTAACATAAACAACAACACTGGATGTGGACCACTCCAGTGGAATATACAGGTATTCAAATGGACTATCTGTGGGAAGAGAACATGGAGAAGCTCAATATTATTAACTAAGATAAGTCCAGTGGACAGACTGTGAAACAAACCATGAATTACTTACATACAAATTCAGGTTGAAGCCAAAGAAAATTGAAACACGTTTGCAAGAGCCACCTGAATGTAGAAATCATTTTAACAGATTTGAACACTGCATTGAACACTAATGGACAGGACCAGCTGAGTTAATAGGTTACATCATACATGAAGAAAGTGAAAATGGAGAAAAAAAACCAAAACACTTACTGCCATCTTGTCAATTCTGATCATAGCAAACCTATAGGACAGGATGGAACTGACCTTTTGAGGTTCTGAGGCTATAAGTCTTTACTGGAGCAGAAAGGAACAGCTAATAAATAGGTCCAATTGTTGATGTGGTTCACAGCCCAACATGTAGTACCCTACTCCACCAGCGCTCCTTGAAGACAGCAAAAGCTCATTAAAATGACAGAAAAGAAACAAGAGACCAAAATGGATGCCAAAGGAGACCCTGAAAACTTGATATTGAACATAGAGTAGCAAAAAAAAAGGAAAAATTATGACATAAAGTGTTATATAGAAGAGAAGCAACAAAGTGAGTTGTCGATGGGATCAGGGATCAGGTATCAAAGGCCCAGAACAAAAAATCATATCATTGTGAGTGAGGGGGAGTATGGAGTAGAGGCCCCAAACCCATCTGTAGGCAGTTTGACATCCCCTTACAGAAGGGTTGTGGGGAGGAGACAAGCCAATCAGGGTGCAGTGTAGCACCGATGAAACATACAGCTTTCCTCTAGTTCTTAAATGCTCTCCCCCCCATCATGACCCCAATTCTACCTTACAAATCCAACTAGACCAGACATGTACACGGGTACAGATAAGAGCTGGCAACACAGGGAATCCAGGACAGATAAACCCCTCAGGACCAATATTGAGAGTAGCCAGACCAGGAGGGGAAGGGGAAAGGTGGGGGAGAAAGAGGGAACCGATCACAGTAATCTACCTATAACTCCCTGCCAGGAGGACAGAACAGAAAAGTGGGTGAAGGGAGATGTCGGTCAGTGTAAGACATGAAATAATAATTTATAAATTATCAAGGGTTCCTAAGAGAGGGAGTGGGGGATGGAGGCAAAAAAATGAGGAGCTGATACCAAGGGCTTAAGTAGAGAGTAAATGTTTTGAGACTGATGATGGCAACAAATGTGCTTGACACAATGGATGGATAGATGGATTGTGATAAGAGTTGTAGGAGCCCCTAATAAATGATTTAAGTAAATAAAAGGGAAAAATCAGGGGGGGTTGTATTGAAAATCTAAAAAGGCAGCTCAAGAAGACAAAGTGAAAAATTATACTGCATTCTGTAAAGACCTGGGATTAGAAAACTAAAAAGGAAGAGCACACACTGTGTATCTCTCTTTTAAAAAAAATCATTTTATTAGGGGCTCATACAACTCTCATCACAATTCACACATACATCAATTCACACCATGTATCTCAAGCCAAAAAAACTGAAGAAAATATTGAATGATGCAAGAAAAATCAAAGGAAGATGGAAGAATACAGTCATATCAAAAGGAATTGTTCAACATTCAACCATTTATTTATTTATTTACCATTTCAGAAGGTAGCATAAGATCAAGAGCTAATGGTATTGAATGAAGAAGCCCAAGCTGCAATGAATGAAAGTGTTAGTAAAATAGAAAGGTCCAGGAATTGACAGAATATCAATAGAAAAGTTTTAAAAAAAGATGTAGCCTTGAAAGCACTCCTTAGTGTATGTCAAGAAATTTGGAAAACAGCTAATTTACCAACTAACTGGAATCATCTTTGTGCCCATTCTGAAGAGGTTCCAACAGAAAGCAGAGATTACTGAACATTATCATTAATACCACCTGAAAGTAAGATTTTGCTGAAGATTATTTAAAAATGGTTTCAGCAATACATCAATAGGAAGCTGCCAAAAATTTAAGCTGGATTCAGTAGAGGACAAAGGTTGTGGAACGATGAATAATTGCTGAGCCAGATGATTCATGACTGAAACAGAATAATAGAAAGATGCTTATGTATATTGCATTAACTATGCAGAGGCATTCCATTATGTGAATCTTAAACTATGTATAACATTGTGAGAAATGGAACTTTGAAAAACTGTGCTCATGCAGAACCTGTACATAAACCAAGAGGTGGCTGTTTGAACAGAACAAGGGGTAGTGAATGGTTTAAAATCAGGATAGGGAAGTATCAGGTTTATATCCTTTCACAATATTTATTCACTCTGTCTGCTGAGCAAACCTGAGAAAGTCGTCCACATGAAGAAGGAGCAGGCATGGGGATGGGAGGCAGACTCGCTAACCTGCAACGTGCAGAGGACACAGCCTGCTTCCGCAAAGCCAGGACTTCAGCGGAGCATCGGCGTGATGACACTCAGTGCAAAGAAGAGAGAAACCCTCACATCTGGATTGACACCTGCGATATGAAGAAAAGTCTGAAGTGGTCCAAAGACTCTATTTCCTTGGATCCATACTCAGTATTATTTTTTACTGTTCTCGTTTTTCACTGGCATTTATTGTATCTATGATTCCATTTGATAATGGGTGTGTATGAAAGCTCTGTAAACGACCGACTTTTCAGAAAGATTTTTCTATATGATTTTTCTAAAGTAGTTTACATAAAGCTCCTGTATACTTGGTCATAGAATAAGTGTAACACTTGATGTGCACAGCACAGCAAGGTATGACAGCTGAGAAGTACAGTACACCAGTAGAAATAGGGAATATTCTTGTTCTGTGTTTGACTTTGAGTAAGTCACTTTACCGTGTGCGACATCAGTCTCATTTGCAGGTTGAGTCGATCAAAAGCACGTTGCAGTACATGATCAGAATGCATACCATAGAGAAGAACCTATGATCTGACCGAGAGAGAATTCTTTTATTAACTTCATATTTTAAAAATTAGCTCAAAAGGGCCTTCACCGAGAATTTTACATGCCCATAATATGTATTTTTTAAAGGTCAGCATCTGTCGTGTCAATAATGACCGTATTTTTGGATGGTTATGGTTACAGAGTGTAATTATTTAAATGTTTTTATTTTATACTGTTTGAAAGATAGTGTGATTCAAAACTAACTTTTTTTCTTTTTTTTTTCAGTATCCTTGCTATGAGCAAGAGGATGTGATAAGTTGTTCAACTTATGAAATTCAACTTACATGTGAATTCTGCCAGGTATATATGTAATAAATTGTATTTTGAGCTATTTTTAATATTTTAAATTGTAAATATTTACATAGGTTATTTCTAGATACATATTTTAGTATTTTTTCATAGATTTGTCTAGTAAATAGCTTATATGATGCTTATGTTTTTAAATTATCAAGTAGAGAGCATTAAGATACACTTTACTATGCCATGAGTTCCAAATAATACTAAATCTATAGTCTTTTATGAATAAAGGGTTAAGATAACAAATAAAAAGCAACACAAAGCCCTCTGTCATCCAGTTGTTTTCAATTCACAGCAGCCCAGTCCTGGACTGCTCCTTTCGGTTTCTGAGATGAACAGCTGGTGGCTTACCCTGTGCAGTTAGCAGTCCATTACTTAAGCCACAAGACCACCGGGATGCCTCCAAAGTGCCCTCTTTCCTGCAGGGAAAAACAACCCTGTATATACCAGCATTTGTCCTATTTGCTTTTTTCTATAATCACTTCTATCCTTCCTGTAGAACAGTGGTTCTCAACCTTCCTAATGCCAGGGCCCTTTAATACAGTTCTTCATGTTGTGGTGACCCTCAACTATAAAATTATTTTCGTTGCTACTTCATAACTCATTTTGCTACTGTTATGAATCGGTCAACCCCTGTGAAAGGGTCGTTTGACCCCCAAAGGGGTTGCAAACCACAGGTTGAGAGCCACTGCTGTAGAATATACTTTGGGAAACATTGCTCTGATGTTTTAATAAACTAGTGTTGCAAAAGAAACAATGTTACAGGGTTATTACATGTGTCAAATACAGATGCTAAATATAATTTCTAGAAAGAAAGCAAAAACAAAACTAAAATTTACATATTTCTAAAGGCATAAGTGGGACCTTCAAGTCTAAATAGAAAAGTGAAGAAATAATCTCGATTCAAAAATGTCTGTGAGTAGTTGCTTGAATCAGGATCCAAAGAGGCTTTTACATTGCATTGTGTTAATACGTTAATATTGTGTTAATATGTTTCTTCTGGTTTTGTTTTATGGTGACATGTTGAAGAGACCAGGTCTTTTCTCTAATATCCCATATTACTGGATTTGGTTGGTTGATCCAGATGGTTGTATTTGACTTAGTTAAAACTGACCCGTTAGCTCATCAGTTATCACCCTGATCCAATCATCATGGACTTGCTTATCACCTTTTTTCTTATTAGCTTTACCAGACATTATTGACAGGGACCTAGGCCAATTAATGTAATTGATGGTCTTCTAGGTATTTCATTCCTTTTACACTTACAGTGAAAATTCTGCTATGAATGTTTGCATTCCTGAAATATAATTTATGTAGAAAAGAAACATGCTGATCTTTTACCTTTTTTAAAAACAATGGTCAAAAAATCTTACCATAGTGAATGAGGGGTTGGGTGTGGAGACCCAAAGCCCA